TTCATTAGTGGGTTGGAAATTTATTATTTTACAGAGCTAAGTTTGTAAATAATGGCCCATGTAAGAACTTAAATCGTGCAACAACATCATTTGAGAAACTACAAACCCATTAGGACACGTGTCTCATTCTTGTTATCTTATTTAGTAAAGTGACGTGGCTTAAGGAGGAAGAAGAGAGTTCTACTTTATATATATAGATTTCATTAAGATGAATTGTACATCATGGGTAATGTAAAATTCTAACAATATCGTTCTAAAAAGCTGATTAGTTAGTGCAATGATGACTTCTGGGTATTACTTATAGAATTAGTTTTACTAAGGTAAAGTGGTTTTACTGGTATTATTAATATTACTAGTTAATATTACTATGTATAGTAGCTAAAGAAATTACTATTAGTAAGAGAAGAATGTATGGCGTGGCAATTAATTTTGAACTTCGATAATTCTAATGATAATTCTATTTTATTTCAGGAAAAAATGCAAAATTCGCATTGCACAATTATTTGTTTTGATTATGGGGGATATTATATGAACGATGGAGCTGAAATAAGATAGATCTTGGGAAATTGTGAAGGAGAAAAGAAAATTCACACGATTGGGTTGAAGAAATCATTGAAGAAAGTCACTTACTCTTGTTTGGTTGAGCGTATTTGCAGAAATTTCATATGTAGAGGACTTCACATCATAAATGTTTTGAGTTTGATACAACTAAGAAAGATATTAAGAGATTTGTGGTTAAATCTTGACTAAAGAAGGCTGCAAGTGGTTTGTACGAGTTACAAAGTTAAAGAATTTGGATCTTTGGACGGTTAAAAGATACATCAAGCACCATACATGTCATTAGGGATGCGAGAATTTATACTTTACTACCAATGTTTGATGCAATCAATGTGTGTATTTTGGATTACTCCGTTTTACTTGTATTATTATGTTTATTTCGGACTACTTAGTTTTACTAGTATTATTATGTGCAATTTGGAGTAGTGGGTTTTAAATTGTTTATGATGTAAATTTAGACTATTTTTATGATTATTTTCGATTCGTAGACTATATCTATGATAAACATGTACATTTAGACTATTTCTATCATTATTTTCAATAATTTAAGAAAAGATTATCAGTTTCCCAAAAAAACTCCTTAACTTTCTATGTTATTATGTGAATGGTTCTAGTATAGTAAGGATAATTTTTCAAAATACGTATTCCTAGTAATTTGTTGTTGTAAATGTCTTCTTTTAAAAGATTCACTAGGTAAAAGCATTGGTATTACTACAAAACCTTCAAGTTTGCGATGGTTTAACTAGATTAACTTAAAAATTGCCAAAATATTACTATGTGTATAGTAGTATTACTACAACCTTGATGAATATTAGGTGTATTACTAAGTGTAAAATATAATATTAATCTATATATGACGGCTGCACGTTTTACATGTGAAATATGACGGCTGGACGTTTTACATGTGAAATTCATTTTAATTCATTTTATATATATATTTATTTAGGCATTTTACATGTGTTTTCTATTTTTTGGGCAGAGTAACACTTGTAAATTTAGTTTTCCCAGCAATTTATTTTTGGGCAGAGTAACACTTGTAAATTTAGTTTTCCAAACCTCTCTTAAACATCCAAAAGCAACACAACATTCGACCGAGTTTTAAACATCCAAAAGCAAAAACAAAGCATTCCACCGAGTTTTAACAATCCAAAAGCATACTTAAATTAGCATTCTAAATACATAAGGAAGCTCCATATATAAGCATTTTAAACCTTTGTTTTACGCTTCTTCCCCGCCGTGAAAGGAGTCTGCACCCACTATAAACACATAAGGGAGAATTGTCGCTGTCACCTTGTCTTTCCCAACCTCTTGCTCAGCATCATCTTTGTCCTTCCCTTCGTTTGAATAATAATCCATACCATCCCACTGTCCAAAATTCATGTCTACACCATGATTTGGCTTCTCACTTACCTTAATCTCAATAGAAGTTAGCCTTTTTTCTATTTTCCTATCTCTTTTTCTCAGAAGTCACTGGTTCTTCTCAATAGAGATTGACGACGGCTTTCAATGGAAACTTGCTTTTGTGATTTCGTCATTACTTTCCTGTACAAGACATTACAGCACAACCAATCAAAATTCAAACCATAAAACAACAACACAACATCAAGTTACTTTCAATCACTATACCGACTCTCCTCACTACATTTATCTCAAACCCAACGTTACTTTCATCCTCCAGAACCTAAAAACGAAACAGAGTTTTCAATTGAATACATACCCGCCCTGATTCATATACATTTTCTCCCTAATTTTTCATTTCGATTTTTAACAAGGCATCTTACAAATTAGATTCAATTTCTTCAGTAAAAAAAACTACGAACATCGCAACAGTAGGTCTAAAATACGAATCCAAAATCCTCGAAATACCTTTCTATCATAACATATACCAAATCTGAGATTTTACCATGTTTTCCTCCAATTTCATAGCAGAAATCGTTTATTCTCTAGTTTCATCTCAGTTTACAAGTTTTCTCCCAATTTTTATCTAACCTAAATACAAAATATGACGAAATCGGACGAAATCAATGAGATTAAACACTTACCAAGATGAAGGATGTCGATTCAGGAGATGGAAGCTTGATTACTACACAGAAAAAGAAAAGAAGAAACAAAATCTAAGGTTTTAGCTCTGTTTTATTGCTGAAAAAACAAGAGGAAAAGAAAGTCTGAGAAAGAAATTAGGGTTACG